AAAACAATATCTTCGCAGTTGCAAGAGCCGCGATTAACACAGTAGCACCACAAAAGTTACCAAAGAAAAATCACAATCAAGTAACACTCCCAATATCGAACAAGGAAAAATAATAATGGTGAACCAAAAACGTACACATGTTAATGGTTCGCAGAAGATTAAATCATACTCCAAAAGAAAATAAAAGCCGAAATCCCACCCACAGAAAATCCATTGCAGTAAGTAAAAATTCCTTAGGATAGTTATTCATCACTTGTCCCTTTCTTTTCCCATCCTCTTCCCAAATTTTCTCGCCAAACAAACAGACGCAAATTTCAATAGCAGCGAAGGAGTATTACTTGCCTTAAATACGATATATTTTGGTGCCGTTTTAGAAACCCTAGAGAGTGAAAACCAAATAGAGATGGTGAGAAACAAAGAAAGATCGAAGCGTCACGAGTTATGTGAGACCGCAAAAGAGAGAGAACTAGAGAAATCGAAAAGAAAAGATGAGAGAGATCTGTGTAACTGTGAAAGCAACGCAGGTTAATGGTTTCAGATCGGGGAGATAGAGAAAGGGAGAAAGAGAAAAAAATGAGAGAAGAGGAAGAGAGAGCTGACGAAGAATGAAACGAGAGTTTGGGTTCAGGAGTTGCCCCAGCCCAAATTTTATGTTAATATGCAGAGAAAAATACCAACAACAAAAAAAAGATACTATAAATTAATATAAATTAGGAAAATAAAAGCAATTTTTTTATATTTACGGGAAATATTATTAAAATAATTTAAACTTTAAATTTATTTTAAAAGTAAGTTTTTTAAGAATAGTTAATTTTAAAATTATATATTATTTTATTCTATCCATTAGAAAATGACTAAAAACATAAATTCAAATTTGAGAATCCGATTATTCTCAAATTTCAATGTATAGCAATGTAAAGTTATGGTGCTTAGATGAATAGTGTAACGGCCCCGAAAATTAAAAAGAAATGTATAAATTTATTCTAAGTGCAGAAGCGAAATAAAATAGATTATGATTAACATTTCTTACACAATAACCAAAACGAATTAAACGTATAAAAAAATAAACTAACTAAAGAAAATACTATGAATGAATATTACAAGGAAAACTAATAAATTCTTAGGCTTTTACTCGCCGTCTTCCTGCAGAATGGGCTCGGGAACCAAGTCCTCCTAATCTGAAATGGTTAAGTAAGGAATGAGCTACACTAACCCAGTAAAGTCATCACACTATCTTACTGTCACAGAAATAAATATTAGTAGAAAACAAAAAGGACCAATGGAGCATAATTTATAACAAACTCATTTATCAATAATAAAAACATTTACTGTCCACTTACCTCAATGAGATTCATGAAAACAACTTATGAGAAACAATAACATCATAAACATCATAAGATCATACACACTCTGTAACATAACACATATCATGCTTTTGTATTTCAATCATCAGACAATAAATTTCCTCTTTTATCAGCCTACTAGTATCCATGGGGACCCATAGGGGGTCCCCGCTACACGTGAACCATTCACATTAATAACTTAATTCCAAGGTCGTCCCCATACCCGTCCAGTATGGGTGTCAAAACCATAAATCTCAATACCTCGTTCGGTATGAGGGTGAAACGGGTCATCCTCATACCCCGTCTGGTATGGGCACCAAAACACATAAAGTCTCCATACCCCGTCCGATATGAGAGACCACGTTCCCTATAGGATCCCTTATGGACCCGATCCGTCCACCATCTCCCAAGATATCTAGTTAGACTGTCGACATTATCCATTTATCAATTCACATACTTTTTTTCATTTTTTTCTTAATCTCAATTATCCAATCAAACATAAACATGTAAACTAGTAATGGACACCAAACAAGACAACACAACATCGGGTTCACAATAATTCAAACCATAATAAATAAAATCGTGATTCATGCATATGAAATCATAGAATAAACACATCAGGCACCATACTGCATTCAAAACTGTAAAATAAATCAAACAACACCTGACTGAAAAAATACATCAGATTCAGACTCCATTAGCAGTCTTAATTAATTATACATATCTATTAATTCATAAAATACAGTTTTATCATTTATTAAGCTTTAATGTTGTGATAGAAAATAGGGTGAGAGATCCTTACTTGTTTCGGAGTCTGAAATTGAGTTCTCACTGCGCCTACGGGTAGCCCCTAGATTCCCTGAATTTTTTCCTAGAAACTGAAACACACTTCCGGTACCTGTACATGTCCCCAAAAAACCTCAAATCAGACCCAAGGCCTTTTTAGCCAATTTTAGAATTCTGGCATGGCGGCTCCGCCGTGCTCCGACAACGGTGTCGCTGCCCACAGCGGCGATCTGCCTCGGGTTGGCCGTTTCCAACTGTTTTTGGCCGAATTCGTTAAACTTGCATTGGTTCCTGTAATAAAACACCCCTAGGGCCCTCGGTGGGCAAAAAAATTTCAGAAAATCGAGACTTACCCGCGGCGAAGCTCTCGGGTGCGGCGGCTCCTCCGACGCGAGTTATGATTTGGTATTTTACTCCGGTCAACCTGTAGAGAAAAGGACGGTGGTCACAATGGTATAAAAATTATATCGAATGGGAACCGGGAAGGGCCTCATCGGAGGTAAAAACTGAGAAAATTCACGGCAGTGCTGCTAAACTTCGACGGTATTTTCCGGCCAATTGGTTGGTGGTTTGGCTCTGATTTGGCCACAGAGAGGTTCAACATTGAAAAACGAGCCAAGGGGAGAAATTTTACCTCGTTTGGTGACCGAAAAATCCTCCAGTGCGGTGGTGGGTGGCGGTGGCCGGTTCCTCAAGTGGCTGGGTCGTCTTCTCCGACGAGGGTTCTAACAGCTAGGGTTTGGGGTTGGGTGTGGATGCGATTATTTATAACCTTCCCCTTTTAATCTGAGCCGTTCATTATGATTTAATCTGGGCCGTCCATTGCAATGCAATTTGGGTCGTCCGTACGTGATCAAATCTGGGCCGTCCGCACGCGTGAGATCTGGGTCGTCCATGCGTGCTTTTGATCTGGATTGTCCGTGCGCGCGGGAACGGATCTAGGCCATCCGATCGCGCGCACGCGAATCACCCACTTGTCTCCGTCCCGCGTGGCTTCCCATGTCAACGTCCCTGCCATGCGGCGTGTCCTGGTTGGCCGGGGCTGTTGACACGGCTGCTGATGTGGCGCTATTTTTTTAAATTGCGTTTTGACCCCCCAGTTTTCGATTTTCTTTTTAAAAACACCCCTAAAATCTAAATTTTCACCCCTTTTTTCCAAAATCAATTTCAATTAAATCCTAAAAATAATTTTACCCCATTTTATTATTATTATTATTTTTATTTCTATTAAATTAAATTAAATTAAATTAAAACCTTATAGATTAATTATTAAAATAAAATAGAATTAGACAAAATTCTAATAAAATAAAAATAAAATAAAATAAAAGTTCCGGGTATTACAAATAGGAACAAATTTAGAATTTATATAAAATTTATCTATAAAATTCATTTATTTTAATTATATAAATATTTTTATTACAAAATAATTTAAATAAATAAATTTTCCTATGGAATTAAAATAATAATTCGATATGATTTTGAATTTATTTTAATTCTATATAAAATTTTACATGAACTTAATTTTATTATCTTTAAATTAAAGCGTGAATGCACAAATAAATTCTATATAACTTTTTTATATTTTAAATATTGCGTATATTAATTTTTGCAAATTTTTTAAAATAAAATATAAAATAGAATCATAATTATGGAGATAAAAAATCATTCATATATAAAAAGACCGACAACTCAAGGCTCTCATCCATGTAAATAAAATTATTAAACAATTATACAACTTTCAATGTGCATAGTTTTCAAATTTTACTCTCTTACAAGTACTTTTAAAATTATTTATCTATAATTTTTTTATCATTTCCATACATAAACAGATAACCAACGGATATATTATTTCTAATAAATCTAACTTTGAAAGAAAAATATCATCTATCAAATATCAGAATAAATAATTCATTTAATTCACAGTTGAAAGTTATCACAATGAACTTCAGTAGAACTAAACACTGCGAACTAAAAAATGTTGGAAAAGTTAGAATAACATTATATGCATTAACTTGAAGGAGTAGATCTGGGCATGAACGCTTAAAAAAATAGGTTAAATAAGAGTGGATCCTATATAGAATTGGATAGATAATTTCCAAAATTGGATCTTGCATAATCAAATCAACAATAGTTTTGTAAAGTAAAATCAATTTTCAGGTTAAGGGTCCTACTATTTATTATTTAACATTAGACCACTTTGATATTATTGATTCTCCAACATATACCTAATTCCAAATATCTACTCTCATTAAATATTTAACCAAGTGAATAACCTTATGAAACATCCATGGAGTCTCTAAATGCTTAGTATTTAGTCTTGTGTATATATAGGTGAAATAGATATAGGGCATATATTCAACAAAATTTAAAAAAAAAATCATATGGAATGTAAAAATATTTCATGTCAATCATTTAATACGTTAAAGATAACCATGTGTATAAAACATTTACTTGATCTTCATTCTCATACTAAACATATCACAAAAATACTTTTGTATTGCAAATGACAATATGAATATTTAGAATTAGAATCCCAAAAGTATATGTTTTTCTTGATTTATGCATTTATTACTTTACGTAATAAACAT